TGAAGGATGAAAACGATACACCCACAAATTTCTCAACGAAAGCCACTTCCGAAGCCATAGCAGACGAAGTTCAAAGCCGAATGTGCGCCAATACCGAATGTGCGCCAATAATTTTCAAATGTCATCGATTAAAACAAATCGCAAAAAAATAACGGCAGATGAGGGGGGTTTTCAGTCTACGCATATATGCAAAGAAGCGCAACATTTTGACGTTAAAGTTTTTATTTCGTCGGCGTTCGTTTTGCAGAAAAATACATTGTGCGTCTAGCCGCTGGCAGTAAAAAGTGTGGATCTGGTGAAGCAGCAGATTTGGCGCCATCCAGCCGGTCAGTTTGAAGTAAAACCTGAAACCACCGCTGGGGTCTCGTGGCCTTGCGCCGTTGGGCTCACGGCCAGGGGCACGAAAAGAATAAGTGTGGATGATGAAGTCGAGGGATTGGCACTGCGCCGTCAACAAACCAAAGTTTGTCAGCGCAACGATGACACGGCACTGCTATACCCAGTGTGATGGCACTTTCGTGACCCGAGCCTGCAATTGCAACGACGAGGAAAGTTCCCGCCCGCCCCAACAGCCTCTGGGACGATATCGCTCCAACCCGATGAACCTTCCGTTCGGCTTCAACCAACCCGGTTTTCTCCTGTAACTTCGGTTTGCATGTTCCACAAGTTCAATTTCATATACGGTGTTCGTTTGGCCTTATGCACTGCCAATATCTCTCTATCGAAGCTATATTTTACCCCTACAACAATTAACCCAGTTAGTTTGCTTGGGGGCACACACAGTTGTTACAGGTGGCAGAGCAAGGTGTTCCTAAGCAGGAGCGACGGAGGGATGGGTATTAGTAGGTTGCGAGGTTACAAGCCGATAATTAGTTTAATGCGGGTTTATTGCCAGACACTACAAGGGCAGGAAGTTTATGAGGTTACTATGAAGGCCTCGTTGTTGACACTGGTGGTTGGGGTCACAGCAGGTTAAGATCCAACGAAGCGTAAAGCATAGGTTATTATGGGGTTGGATGGTGTAGGATTTCAGCTGGAATATCCATACTCGCGACAGTCGATGACCAGTTAGTGCTCACGCCTTTGGGATTGTTCAGGGGGCTGGTCAAACGGGGTATCTATATACCTAGGAAACTACTAGAGGTGACTCAGTTTACCTGAGTTTGGACGGTATGGATGGTGTGACCAACTATGAGATCCTTAGCCAGCGCAAGCATTGATCCAAAGTCGGATGGAGTGGCGTGGCCAGAGCATAAAACGCGTTGCGTAGGGCTAAAATGAGCATAGATTGACTGCATGAAGACCCATTTTTGGCAGATGCAATGGGTCGCAGTTCCAAGTGGTTGGTTTTGGATTTCTGTTCTCCCACGCATTGACAGCAATTTGGTTCGCGTGGTTGCTAAAAGGATTGCTCCAAGGAAAGTCTACAATTAAGTCATGGAGAAAGAGTGAGTTTGAGTAGGAGAAAGTTTCGTTTGGTGGCCTTTGGCATTCTGTCTTTCGCAAATAAATGGGGACTACTTATTAAGCTATCTTAGGTGCAGATTGTGCGCGCCATCACCCCCGTAGGTTGGAATCCCCGGGTAAACTTGACCAAAGCCAATGTGTGATCAGGAGACGTAGTGGTGAGATCTTTGTCCAGAAACTGCTCAACTTTTAAACAAACTTTGCGATCCCAAACAGTCTGCTTGCTTCGAACAGCCACCCAAACGAATGTCTTCTCTGATACCAATCATGCGGCTTTTTGCGATGCGCCTTGAATTCATATCCCGTTGCGCGGGTCCGATTCCCTCCTCCTTGATGAGGTCCACCGTTACCTTCAGGAAGATAATTACTTCTCCTTACAAACCTTTCGGTAACACTCCTTCTGCAATCACTCCACACATCTGTTGCTGGCAGTTCATTATAACACTCTAAAGGCCTGGAGAGAGTTCCAGGACGTCAGAGCAGGTGAACTTTTTGCGTTGACCAAGGAGACCGTTCACCCGTTACTTGAAGTTTACAGAGAACACTGTACATACTCTTGATTTCTTAACTTCGGTTTGCATGTTCCACAAGTTCAATTTCATATACGGTGTTCGTTTGGCCTTATGCACTGCCAATATCTCTCTATCGAAGCTATATTTTACCGCTACAACAATTAACCCAGTTAGTTTGCTTGGGGGCACACACAGTTGTTACAGGTGGCAGAGCAAGGTGTTCCTAAGCAGGAGCGACGGAGGGATGGGTATTAGTAGGTTGCGAGGTTACAAGCCGATAATTAGTTTAATGCGGGTTTATTGCCAGACACTACAAGGGCAGGAAGTTTATGAGGTTACTATGAAGGCCTCGTTGTTGACACTGGTGGTTGGGGTCACAGCAGGTTAAGATCCAACGAAGCGTAAAGCATAGGTTATTATGGGGTTGGATGGTGTAGGATTTCAGCTGGAATATCCATACTCGCGACAGTCGATGACCAGTTAGTGCTCACGCCTTTGGGATTGTTCAGGGGGCTGGTCAAACGGGGTATCTATATACCTAGGAAACTACTAGAGGTGACTCAGTTTACCTGAGTTTGGACGGTATGGATGGTGTGACAAACTATGAGATCCTTAGCCAGCGCAAGCATTGATCCAAAGTCGGATGGAGTGGCGTGGCCAGAGCATAAAACGCGTTGCGTAGGGCTAAAATGAGCATAGATTGACTGCATGAAGACCCATTTTTGGCAGATGCAATGGGTCGCAGTTCCAAGTGGTTGGTTTTGGATTTCTGTTCTCCCACGCATTGACAGCAATTTGGTTCGCGTGGTTGCTAAAAGGATTGCTCCAAGGAAAGTCTACAATTAAGTCATGGAGAAAGAGTGAGTTTGAGTAGGAGAAAGTTTCGTTTGGTGGCCTTTGGCATTCTGTCTTTCGCAAATAAATGGGGACTACTTATTAAGCTATCTTAGGTGCAGATTGTGCGCGCCATCACCCCCGTAGGTTGGAATCCCCGGGTAAACTTGACCAAAGCCAATGTGTGATCAGGAGACGTAGTGGTGAGATCTTTGTCCAGAAACTGCTCAACTTTTAAACAAACTTTGCGATCCCAAACAGTCTGCTTGCTTCGAACAGCCACCCAAACGAATGTCTTCTCTGATACCAATCATGCGGCTTTTTGCGATGCGCCTTGAATTCATATCCCGTTGCGCGGGTCCGATTCCCTCCTCCTTGATGAGGTCCACCGTTACCTTCAGGAAGATAATTACTTCTCCTTACAAACCTTTCGGTAACACTCCTTCTGCAATCACTCCACACATCTGTTGCTGGCAGTTCATTATAACACTCTAAAGGCCTGGAGAGAGTTCCAGGACGTCAGAGCAGGTGAACTTTTTGCGTTGACCAAGGAGACCGTTCACCCGTTACTTGAAGTTTACAGAGAACACTGTACATACTCTTGATTTCTTCAGTTCAACACGGATTTCTCTCAAACCGTTTCTGCCTGACTAAAACGCTCGTACATATGGACAGCCTAACGCAAGCCAACGACGGGGACTCGCATCGGATGATATATTTTCTAAATTTTCGAAAGCATTCGATCAAGTACCATACGTTTTGCTGCACCAAAAACTCAAGCCCTAGTGGATTCGAGTGAAAATCTTACACCGGATCTAGGCGTTTCTATCAGACACATCACTACGAGTGAAATTAGGCTCGACCTGCTTTTTACCAGCACCGATCTTAATTGGAGCTCCTCAACGCTCAGTTCCGGACCGATGCTGTTTCTGATATGCGTCAACGACCTTTCGGATGTTCTTGCAAGCCCATGCCTTCTTTTTGCGGACGACTTGAAGTCCCGGAGTTCTAGTGCCAGTGCCCTCCACATGGATGTAGACGCTGCCAAGTAGTGGTCGATGGAATGATACCTTCCTCTGAATGACGAAAAATGCGTTCATATGTCATTTGGAGAAGACTCAGCGAATGCTTTTGTCATGCGTGTTGACAAAGGATCAGGAAACATCATGAGGATAGACGCCTAAAAGGATTTGTTCGTCTGGTTTTCTTCAAATTTATCCTTCTTGCTGCATCATTAGAAATCGGCCCAAAAGGCATTTGCCATTTTGCGGGTGATTCAGCGCTCCTTCTCCCGCATCACTCGCACGGACTTCTAAATACACTATGGGGCCTATGCCAAACCGCACCCTGAATATGCCAGCCAAGTTTTCTACTGAGGACGCACAAAAGGTGTCACCTTCATTGAGCTTGTCCAGGGAGCCGCTACGAGAATTGTAGATGACTTTATATCCTTGGACCACGAAAGTTCTCGTGGTACCCGACCATTTCTCCTGGAGTATCATCGCCTCTGATAGGACCTAATTCTTACTTGTGCCCCGTTTAGGCATAGCTTGAATAACAGGTTTTTCCGCGTTGACCCGGCAAACACACTGCGGGAACCAGGTAAGTAGATTTTCATGCACAGATCGCAGACACTCATCCGGCATATTCTGTTCTCATTTCGGGTAGTAGTTGCTTGCAATAACCTTTCCGCGATGGTCCATGCTCTTTCTAGAACCCAGTTCAAGCACTCTTAGACATTTGTTTATGCAAATCCTTGCGCCGGTAAGAAGTTTGCCCGTGCCAAGGACATAAAGAGAATGCAGCACTCATTTTCCACTTGCGCTTTTTAGGCGAATTACAAATCCTGAACGACAAGAACAAAACCAACCTGGGATACTCGGTCAAAAGCCTCGATCCTTTGTATCGATCCCTGAATCTGTGAATCAAGCGTTGGGCGTCCTTTTTATCCTTTGATGGCAATAACGTTTGCAGCCAAATAAGTGGTCAAGAATATCTGAGCCTTGGCATTGCCACACACAGTTTGGTAGCGCACTCGCAACTATCCTTTTCCTTCTCTTGACCGTAAATTCTCGCCCACTCGTTTCGTTAACTGAAAATACGATCAAGCCACCGCTTGATCCCAACTTCCTCTATGACATGTTCAGTCTAAGTTGCTGAACCTTCCGCTCGACTTTAACCATTTATGTATGTCTGTGCTCCACACAAAATCCAGTAACTTTTTATGCAGTTCTTGTTCCGGCCCGTGTGTTTCTATCAACTCACTCTTCCAAGGAACTTTTATAACAGACTACACAACAGCGACACCTATGAGTCGATACAGTATCGCTGTACACCATGTTTCCGAGATTCCGCTTGGCCAATCCCTCCGCCTCATCATCCTTGCTTGCGCTATCCATGACCAAGGCCACATGCCCAACAGTCTAACGCCGCGTGGCCTCAGCGGTGTTTTGAAGTTTTAGTTCAGTATGACCGGCGGAATGGCGCCAAGTTTGCTGCTTCACCTGATCTTATGTTCTGGTTCCTCATTTTCACCGTTACACGTTTCTTGTGAGGTGTCAGGCAGGAGGCCCCTTGTTTTACCCTCCCCCACCTTGTTTTTGCTCACTGTCTCCTCCAAAAACGTATGGTATCTGTGCTTCCCCGCCCGTACCGGATTAGTGGTGATCACGCCTAAATCGGCCAATGCCCCCCTAAGACGCTGTCCCTTTTCCTATCCCCTCTGTGCCCAAAATCCCCGCCGATCATGCTTTCATTCTGAATGTAACATTTTGATCATGCCACCCACAAGTTGGGGATAAACATTATCATTATGTAATGTGTGGTGTTATTTATTGTGGGATTTTCAGGGATGAGGTTACGGTTCAAACGGGACCGTCAGTGTTCACTGCGGAAATTGGTCCGGTTGACAAGGCATCAAAGCCATTCGGTTGAGTCGTTTGATTACAGGGGTCTGAGTAATAACCTGGGTGTGGTCAGTGTCCTTCGACCAGTGGACCGAAATTTACGGTCCCTTAGGACCAGGTAGCATGACAAGATGAAGAACGGTGAAATTTAAACAGGGTTGAACCTCCTTCGTTGGGGGACGCGGCGAAGCGGTCCGTGCATGTTGGATCCCTTCGCAGAAATCTAGCTTAGGCCGTATTGCCTCGTAAATGAGAATAATAAGGAAGAGATTGGTTCTACAGTTGTGCGTGGGGAATCTTGCACAAGAACACACCTTTTCCATTGAGGAAGTCAGAACCATACATGCTGGGGGACTATCTTTGGAGTGAACATTTTAATCGATTGCAAGCAGATGGAGACACTGGTGATATACTTTCATACTGCCTGAATCACTTGCTTGCGCGGTTTGCGTAGACGTAGTTCTGCAGTGTCTACTGTCGTTTGGCAGACTATTCATGGCCAGAGGGAGGGACTAATACGTAGGTGGTACGGAGGTATGGATGGTTGGATAGGAGTGCAGTGTGGGCTGGTTCAGGCCAAGTGAACGGCTGCTGGATGGGACGAAAAGTCGAGGTAAAAGTACATTGAGAGATATGGACAGGATAATGGGTGTGGAATTAAGCCTGTAGCTGAGGGTGGGTGGCAGCGGAGGCGATTAAGAAAACGGCAATATTGGTGCGGAACACACCGGGGCGAATAATATAGTTTCAGACGAACTACAACCGACAGGAATTATAACAACGGGAAACACACACAAAAAGTCCTTTTCCATGTGCGACCAGGAGGAAAGATAGTTCGCGGCCTGAGTATGTCTGTTTGCTTGGGACGGAGCATAACATTTCAGATTCAATTCGGTCGCCATGAGACCCAGATGCATTGCCTATGCGGCAGGTATTGGTATTTCGCGGCGTTCCTCTGATTTGCTGAAAGTGAAGCTTGAGTTCAAGTGGTTAGGAGCTGGCTAGATGTTGGCCCCATAGGAACCGTTTGGTTGGGGTCTCCTGCTGACATGTTTCTGCGGTAAACGTCCAACTGAGCGATTCTACGTCGCTAAAGGTGGAAGTAAATAGTGAGATTTGGAATGGTGTGTTAAAGGAAAGCTGTCGAACAGAATGGCGGATAATGCATCAGAGTAAGATTTGGCGGTAGTGGTACTCGCCACAAGCTGGAGTCCTTTCTGACTAAGAAATGTAATGTTCATGGAAGGGAAAGGCATTTTAATGGTGCCCTAGAAAGAATCATTCCGGGCCCGATTGGCGTTGGGCAAAAGGATAATATATGGACGGTAGTGCTTAGCAAACCAAGGTGCAAAGAAATCTTGCAGGAATTTTGCAAGAGGATCAATGGGTGCATCTTCCAACATATGATTTCCTACCTTCTGAAAAACCTGCCCCAGTATACCAGCAGGTTGAAGTAGTATTCGTGCATCTATGTGCCTTATTTTTAATGTCAGGACAGGGTGTTCACCGGATGAAAAATCATCCTTCACTGTCATGAGCCTTTTTAATAGAGAGAAATGAGAATGAAAAGAGAGGGGTACTTTGGCTGAACCAAGTCTCTGAATTCTTGAACTTAAAAACTGAAATGTTTTGTTTATCTGTACCCTTATTCGGGGGGCGGACACAAGCGCGCAGTTGAGGCCTTGCACTAAGATGGAGCAGGGTTACGAAAAAAGACTGCGGGATCTCCTGAGTAAGATTTGGCGGTAGTGGTACTCGCCACAAGCTGGAGTCCTTTCTGACTAAGGAATGTAATGTTCATGGAAGGGAAAGGCATTTTAATGGTGCCCTAGAAAGAATCATTCCGGGCCCGATTGGCGTTGGGCAAAAGGATAATATATGGACGGTAGTGCTTAGCAAACCAAGGTGCAAAGAAATCTTGCAGGAATTTTGCAAGAGGATCAATGGGTGCACCTTCCAACATATGATTT